CTATAACTTTAGGAGCTCTGGTAGCATAGTGCCTAAGGCACTTGACTGCTAACCAGAAGGCTGGTGGTTCAAACCCACCAGCCACTCCTCAGAAGGAGGGTTGGGCAATCTACTTCCATAGTGATACCACCTTGGAAACCCAGGGAGGGGTCAGTATGAGTCGGGTCCGACTCAACGGCATATAACAACAATAGCTTTAGAGTAAAAACCTCTTTGTAGTATTCTTCAATGTGGGTGATGTCCGTAACTGAAATTTGAGTCTCAAGTCTTAAAATTCTCATGATGTTCTCTTCTGCACCATTTTAGGCAAGAGAACGCCTTGGAGGGGCATCCTGTTATTTGGGCCTCCTGGAACAGGAAAATCCTATTTAGCCAAAGCTGTGGCAACAGAAGCCAACAACTCAACATTTTTTTCAATATCTTCTTCGGACCTTGTATCTAAGTGGCTAGGTGAAAGTGAAAAGTAAGTAGTAAAGGTGACAGTTTTTTTTTTCTTTTGTTTTGGTCTGAGAGTTACTTGTGTGAACTATGTAGTTCCGAAATTAGGGAGGTAGTCAAGAGTTACAACCTGTGAAGATGAAGAATAACTGAAAAGTTTACCAGTATGGTTCTTAAATATTTAAATAATAAGGTGCTGAAGTAATCGTTTTCTTACATTGTTAATAGACATTCCAAGACGTGACATACATGCTCATAGCTGTCGAGTCAGATCCTGGTTTAGAGTTTATTGCATAAGTGAAAGATAGTATGTCTGTGTAACTTAGTTAGGTTGTGAGGGGGATCACCCAGTGGTAGCATACCTATTTCCTGTGCCTGAAGCATGACTGGCTTGTCATCCATGAGTTCCTGTAATACTGGCACATCACATTGTTTCAGGCTTTTCATTAAGTCTTCTTTTTTTATTTTATTTTTTAGAAATTGAAAGTTTTTGTTTATTTCCAGGCTTGTTAAGAACTTATTCCAACTTGCCAGAGAGAACAAACCTTCCATTATCTTCATTGATGAAATTGACTCTCTGTGTGGCTCAAGAAGTGAAAATGAAAGTGAAGCCGCACGCAGAATTAAGACAGAGTTCCTGGTTCAGATGCAAGGTAGTGTGACTCTGGTTCACATGCAAGGTAGTCTGACTCCTGCTTCATGTGCAAGGTGGTGTGACTCCTGGTTCACATGCACAGTGGGTGTGACTCCTGGTTTAGACACAAGGTAGTATTACCCCTGGTTCAGATGCAAGGTAGTGTGACTCCTGGTTTAAGTACAAGGTGGTGTGACTCCTGGTTCAGGTACAAGGTGGTGTGACTCCCGGTTAAATGGAAGGTAGTGTTCTAATGTTCAATAGTTTCTCTTTATTTTACAACCAGTATTATAACAGTAATGGAAAAACAATTCAAGCAGAATGTCTTCATTGTAACAGACCCAGCTGCTTCATTATACCATGTTTCATTCTAATTTTCCTCCATGTGCATTCATAGTTTTACCCACAGCTGTAACCACCTTGTGGGACTCACTGGTATAAATAACAAAAGAATAGCATGTTCATTTATAACATACTAGGAACACTATCAGTAAAAGTACCATGTAGACTTCAAATGAAACCTTACAAGAAACATTTCGCAAAAAATATTAAGTATTTGTCCACAATTTAGGAGATTCAATCTTGGAAATATTTTTATCCTATTTTAGTTTTTAAACATAATGTTTGATTAACTACAGTGTTTTCAAGATGAGGCTACTTTAACCTTAAAGCACCATAGTTCTTACCAAGACATATCGATGAGGTTTAAAGAACACTAAAGTGACCAACTACTTAAAATACTACCTATTTCGATGCAGGGGTTGGTGTGGACAATGATGGAATTTTGGTCCTGGGAGCTACCAATATACCCTGGGTTCTGGATTCTGCCATTAGGCGAAGGTATGGTGACACAGTAAAAATCTTATTTTTAACTATAGACGTAACAAGGAAATGATAATTCCCATTGTGTCTAGTGAGGAGGTATCCTGATAACTTTTAGGATATTTTTAACAGGTCTTACCTTATTGACCCCTGCCTTGGAGAAGAGAGGCAGGCATTTGTTTGCTGTGTTGAAGAAACGTAATGCCTACATACTGGAGTCTTTCACATTGGGAAATACATTCCCTATTGCTTACCTTAGTCCCTGGGTGGTACAAGGGTATGCTTGACTACTAACTTACAAGCTGGTGGTTCGAACCCACTTAGTGGCACAGCAGAAGAAAGGCCTGGCTCTCTGCTTCCTTAAGGGTTACAGCAAAGAAAACCCTGTAGAACCCTATGGAACTCAGTTTTCCCATGATTTGGAATCCACTCGACGGCAGCAGCCCTGGTGTTTGGGTGGTTTACCTTCGGGAGCACAGACACTGTGGAAACGGACACGTGCAGTTTGGTATTTCACTGAAAAGCTTCTCATACAACTTAGCAGAGTGACAGTTACCCACATCAGAGTAAGATAACCAAGATACAGTTTTAGTTAAAAATTTTGTCTCTAATTTTTAAATTAAATATGAAACATCAGCTCTAGAAAGGGTGTATAGGCTCTTCCCTCTTTACTGCTTCACACTTGGCCTATTCTTTTTGCTTAATTTTGCATGGCAACAATTAGCACTTCCATTTTTGCCACTTTCATCCCATTCACTTGATGGTTTGCCAGCTGGTGAGATGCCCATCTTTCTTAGTTCTCTAGTGCTGCTTAATAGAAATGCCACAAGTGGGTAGCTTTAACAAACACATTTGTTATTTCATAGTTTGTTGTTGTTGTTGTATGCCATTGAGTTGGGTCCCACTGAGTTGGACCCAACTCATAGCGACCCCTCCTTGGGTTTCCGAGGCAGTATCACTGTGGAAGTAGATTGCCCAACCTTCCTTCCGAGAACCCACCAGCCTTCTGGTTAGCAGTCAAGTGCTTCACACACTATGCTACCAGAGATCCTCTTTCCCAGTTTAGGAGGCGAGGTTCCAAATTCACGGTGCCAGCGGTAGGGGAAGGCTTTCTCTCTCAGCTCTGGGGGAAAGTCCTTATCTCTTTCCACTTCTGTGGGCCCAGCATCCCTTGGAGATCTCTATGTGTCTTGGTACCACTCTTCCTCTGGGTCTTGGAGGTTCTCTGCAGGA